ATAATAATAATAATAATCTTCATGCGGTATATTGTTTCGACGAGAGGCAATACTAACCGATCACATATTGTGCGCTCGATACGTTATGGAGTGCTCAGACAAGCGCTGGAAACTTGACACGGGGACACCGGCTACCGGCTGGGTCAGAATACGAACCAATCTGTTAAATGGGTGTTGAGGGAGAACATTCAAACAGCCCATCCTAGGTTGACCAGCTACAGCCAGGCGTATTGTTGGTGACTTCTAGCACTGACACTCTCATCCCTGTCCGCATTTCGTTAACACCAGTGTGTCAACCTACTCGGGAGCATACCTGTCCCCCAGAGACGCATACATCTAGCCCTGTGCTTACATTCAGGGAGTCCCATTAGCTAATGTCCCATGACCAATGAGAGTGTCACTGATAGTGCGTGCGTGTATCCGCTTAGGGAGAGAATGAATTGATACCCGCGAGAACTTGAGTGAACAAGAAGTTATTTTGATTTTTTAACAAGCAAACTTATTAGCACTATGCGTGAAGCTGCCTGTAAAAAGGTATAGAATAGTTTGTATGGTCTGCGAGTCGTCATCAAGTAAGGCGATATCGTCGGCATAATCTAAGTCGGTCGCTCGCTTACACAGTACTAACTGTAGACCGAAATTTCGGTAACTGTCTAGAACTCTCGACAGGGCGTCTTCAATCGAAAAAGGGAAGAGGAGCAGCGATATAGGACAGCTCTGTCGTACACCGCTATTGACAGCGAAGAATGGCGAAAGCTTGCCATACACCCTTATTCTGCCCAGATGCGAAAATACAATGCGCGTAGGATAGCAGTGCACCTTTCTGGGACACCGTTCCTTAGCAAACAACGCCATAGTGCAAGTCGATCAAGCGAGTTGATTGCAGCACGGATGTCCAAGAATGCAACAATGGTAGGACTCTGGTAAAGGCAGCGTTGTTCGAGGATTTGACGGAGTGTGAATATCTGATCCACACCCCTGCGGCCAGTTCAGAAACCAGCTTGTTCTTCCCAGTACTGCGATTCGCGAATGAGAACTGGTCTACGGAGTAGAATGGGTGCCAATAGCTTGGAGACAACCGAAGTGAGACTAATCCCCGGTGATTGGTACATGAGGTGCGAACACCCTTCTTAAAATTCGGGATAATAACTAACTCGCACCAGGAAGAAGGCACCTTTTCTTCATGCCAGATTTTGGAGAAAAATGAGATAAGCTGGTTAGTGATAACTTAGCCTCCATACGTGAACAGCTCCGAAGTCCGTCGGAGCCGGTAGCTCTGAATCGTCTTAGGGGTCAAATCGCAAGACAAGCTTCCGCCTCGATGGGTGGATCAAGTGTGACCACCCAGGGCGGGCAGCTGGGTTCGCAGTGCATATAAGTTGACGGTGTGGGCCAATTGAACTGGTAATGAAAATATTCGGCCCATCGGTCCAAGCGTCTCTGTAAGTTGGCAATCGGCGAACCATTCGCTTCGCATATAGTCTCACTGACACCAGGCTTTCTTTAGCCAGTGTATCGAATGAGCTGGAAGAGCTTGCGAGTATTGCCATAGAGAGCGGCGGCCTCCATTTCCGAAACACGCTGGGACCACCAGGCTTCACAGTCACTGCGTAGGCTTTGGGCTTCCGATTGACAGAACGGTGCACTTCATCATGATTGGACTCCGCTGAGATAGTCCTCTGGCAGTCAAATAGATCGAAAGAGCGCGTGGAGATCCAGGCCTTCATAGGGCACTGAGTAAGACCACAGGCTGACTGTCCGGAAAAGATCACGGTCCCCTGCATTAATGTCTAGTGTTCATCAATATCCTGAGGTGGGTCGCAGCCGAATGCACTGACCAGGGAAACTTGATGGCTCTGATGCACCGAGACAGTAGATAGTTTGTGTGTACCTTACAGTGCTACGTTTTCGGGGACCCTTCGAAACTTGTGCAGATATTCGCACAGAGTAGAGTATGGTCTGTTAAGAAAAGGGAACCAGATGGATCTTAAATCGTTTACACTACGCATCTATCTGAAACTTATTGCGATCAAACTGAGACCATGACTGAGACGCAGAATGAGGTCACCATATAGCGGAACCTTCCCTCGAATGCCAGGAACTGGCGCTCGAGAGAAACAGTTGATTATCTTCGCACAGTGTGAGAAGTCTTTCTCCAACTTCTGAGCGGCTCTCATCGGGCGCATGGTGACCGCGGAGGTGACGTTCGCATGATAATAGACGACCGACCCGTGCTTTGAGATCACCAGCAAAAACAAAGATGTCGGAGTTGCAGGCCCTGCTCAAGAGATGAAGAAGTTCACGGTAGAAATTGTCCTTCACTTAGTCGAAACTGTAATCAGTTGGAGCGCAAGCTGAGATCACAAACAAGTTGCGTCCTCTTCACGACGTCTCTTTATCTTGCATGATCGACGAAGTCAAACTGCACAGCAGTGCTGCCTCAGGTTTTCTACTTAGCGCTACACCAACGCCAGCCGCAGCTGTTGCCGTGTCAGCAGATAGACGTAGGTGAAATATGGCTCCGTGGACGGTGGGAGAGCGTAACTCAATCACAGTACCGGGATTTAGTAAGCGGGTTTCGGAAAGACAGAAAACATCGATGGCGAAGGATTACAAGGTGCGCGCAAGACCAGCTTGCTGTCCGATCTGCATGAGTGTACGTACATTGAAGCATGGAAAACGGAAAGAGGATAGACGCCGAACGAAATCGACTGGGCGAGCTCTCTGGATGTCGACAAAACCATCGGGAGTAGAATCATGGAAACAGGAATCAGTTGGTAATGGATAGCAGTGATTGGTAAAAAAAATGAACAAGTGACGTGTGAAGGTGTGTGACTAGCAGGAGCAAAAGTAGCTGGGAGTGATTATTGCGGGTGAAGAGTCCATGTTGGATGAGAGCAACGTTTCACAGACGGAGCCGGCCCACACTCTTTCAACACGCACAACAGCACCATTCCTGCCCATCTATGTGGGGAGTCATGCGTAACATACGTGCACAAGGCGGTAGCTGGGCCGTAGTCTGCTCCACACTGGATGAAACCTCTCAGCCTAGCACGGCCACGAGGACCGTGCACCCCGTTCCAAGCCACCAACGATTCACGGTCTCCTGGAGCTAGTAAGCGAGGTGGAGGGTGTCAGACAGGTAGGCAAATTGCCAACTTTGACAACAAGAGCAGTCACATCGGGGATATCACACAACCAACACAGAACTTTAAGGAAAATAAACATTCGCAATCGAAACGGAATATTCAGCAGATGACAGAACTTAATAAATCGGAATATTTTTCTAGCTGGATCAAGAAGATCCAGTTAAAGTGCGAGTCGTTGTAACCCAACTACACTGAAGAAGAATGACGTATGCAGCATTAACCGCCGCATGAGGCACCTTTAGGTGACAACCCTGTTCAGAACATTCATACCAGGGAGGGGTGAGTCGCGCTTTGTGTGTCAGTTGGAAATCAATCATAGCGATCCGCCGAGATCACCAATGGCTCAGTGGCTTGAGCCGCAGTCTTGCAAAGGTAAGTCATAGGAGCGTATTTAGCGGGATCTAGCAAATGCGCTCTACTGACGAGCCTCAATAGTATGAGACAACCATCCAGCGGTTCTCCGGATGTCAGGTGGTTGTCTAACTGAGTGGAGCTGCAACGAACCGCAAAAATACTTGAGAGATCTCAGGCTACAAAATTTTCGCAGTACGCCTGAACCAGCAATTTAGAACAGTCTGCATCACTTTGTCATCCAGGTAGAAATATTGATCTTCGGAGAATTATCTTATGCATCCAAACAGGTGAAAATCATATGGCGCTAAGCTTAAACTATAAAGTGACGATGTTATCCAGGACATAATGAATTTCCATAACATAGAAATCCTTCCACTTGGTGCCGACATTAACTCGCTTGTGGCAGCCGAAAAGGAAAGCTGTTTGGAGACTGTGACGCACAGTTCAGAACGTAAAGTGATCTCGAGTTACTGCGCTTGCTACTCCCAATGAAAGATTAGGTACGTTAGCACTTTGACGACAATGCATGCCACGATTGTGAAGGACAAACTGTACAACGCGCTGAATGTCACGGGAATGAAAGCCGTGACTGGGAGCTACATCAAAAGCGATGACGAGCGACAGATGCATGAACCATGCGCAGCAACCATTTAAATGTCTCAATGCGGCCGATTGGCTCATCAGTTTAATGTGACAAAAGACTTGTAAATTTCAGTTGGTAGTGCATGCATTGCTACCTGGAAATAAGTCCTAGGCTAACTTTAGCGAACCACGCAATAATTAGCAAATGACTAATTGACTGATGGGTTTTGTGGGAAGAGAGCTTTCAAGACAATAAACAAGTGATGGAAAGCCGCCATTTATGTGGCCTCACTAGTCAGATACGAGGGGTTCTGAAAATGCCGCATTCCGATGGGTGATTGGGCACAAGCAAACTACTGTAATGCCTTATGGCCCATTCTAATAGAGATAGAAAACGCGTTAAGACTTTCCGCTTTTTGTGTACGGACGACGAAATGTCACTTGTCCATCAACCGAAATCCCAATGGATAAAAGACTCGATTTTCTTTGGCAACACAATAAGAGATCTAATCTCGATGAATTTAAGTGAAGCCCTAGATGTGCGTCTTACGAGCTGGTGGATTGTGGGAGCCTCCAGGTAAAGAATATCATTATCACCACACTAAAGGTGAGTGTTTGGTACAGTGAGAGAATGTAAACAACAACACGGTCGCCGGTGAAAGGAGGATTTATGAAGACTTTCAATGCTGAAATCACCTTGCTTCGCACACACACACACACACACACACACACACACCCGACGTAATGCACGAAGCGGAGGGGTCCAAAATATGACCAATGGCACGCAGGACTCAACGCCCAACAGAAATACGTCACGAAATAAGGAAAAGTCTAAAGGTGTGTTAAATACAGAGGACACGCAGTTGTAAGTGGAAAGATTTCAAATGCGTGAACAAATAACAGACAACCACGAACCTTTGCAGGTCGGAGAACGAATCGGGGAGCTCACCAGACACGAGTAAGCGAAATAAAGTATGAGTACCGCAACCGGGACGATAGTGACGAGGCTCCAAGTGTTGAATCAAATGCCACAAAGAACGTATGAATATAGGATGCTGTGAGTACAGGGAGTTGAGCCTGAGAGAGACAGAGAGAAAACGGATATGAATCAAAAATCAGCGTTTTCGGGACAAAAAGGTTCGTTCGAGGAACGCTAACGAAAAATTGGCGCATGTTGGTGGGAAACAAGCAACTGATTGCGATTTCATGGTTTAATGATTCGCCACAGAGCCCACATAAACGAACGATGCATGCCAAACAGCCAAGGTTTCACCTTGCATCAGTGCATCAGTAAGCTAAAGTGATACACCGTTTTCATTTCGCCATAACGATCAAAGAAATGAAAAATAGTAAGTTGGAAAGAAGTGGGACCTAGCGCAAAAACTAAATACCCTAAACAAACATTCAGTATCAAAGCGCCTGCACCGTGTCGACAAGGTACGATCACAAACAGCTGCATATCGTACAAGGATACGGTGGCATCTCTGCGACTTCCACTGCACCGCGTTATACTCAACCAGTACTCCGCAGATGACTTTGCATCAGACAAAATGTTGACAAGCAATTTGAGTACGAGACAACAACAAGCAGGTCACCAGTGCCCGCTGCAAGCAACCTCCTGTAAAGTTTCAATCCAAGCACTAGCTGAATAGTGTGCATTCCAGACTGGAAAGGGGTAAGAAGGATTAACAGCACCCAGTTTATCCCGGTAGTGACTTTATTCCGCACAGTCAAGTGAATTGTTGCTCATCTCGAGGCATGTGTTAGCTAACATCCCGTAAACAAAACACGGTCTTCTTCTGCACTTAACAATCGCGCATATGTGGCAAGTGCCAAGATCATCACAACCAATTCAATGCTCTAAGAGTTTGTAGCCAAGACAAGGTAACCGTGGCGCCGCGGATGCGGTTCCAAGATTGATAAGTAGCAGGTACACCGATTCGGTTGATCAATGCACTGCGGAGGGGGAGTAAAGGAGGATGATGAGCGATTGTCAATGGACAAAATTAACGCTGAGTTCCGCAATGTTGCACAATAGACACATTGTGCGAAAATACCCTTTGACATATATAATAAACGAAATTGTGCATTCTTACGGTGCGAAATGCACACTGTATCAACTAACCATCACTACGAGTGTGTTGGCAGCATGGCAAAAACAATGTGAGATTTCGGGTTTATTGAGTGGGTGAATGGGTAACTCGATATTACGCGCAAGCAGTGAACTGCTGAAAAATTGAGCGGAAAATGCAATAACATGAGAGTGCTGTCACGCCAAAGAAGAGAACTCAACTGTGTCTAAATGGGTAATTAATGCAAAACTGCTTTACGGTCTGAAAACCACATGCATGCAGGCACTGTCACAAGAGCAGCAGACGCAGTTCGAAAAATCACAGAGGCAGCTGATCGAACTGCTATCACAAAAATTAAACATTCAAGTAGAGTGGGGACTGGAACTGAAGCTGACATCGCAAGAAATTGTTGCCGAATGTCAAAGGTTGCTCAAATGGCATCCCGGTACAAATGTGGTCGCAAATTGGGAAACCATGGAGGAGCGACACTTCTGTCACGTTGCCACTGCAAAATATAATGCGCCCATAAGACTTAAGGATGCAACGGTAAAAATCATTGGCAGTCTGATTACGCAGATGAATAGACGCCACGAAACAATGCTCCAACCTGGTCCAGAATGCTGCAGAATAACCAATGCTGCCGGGAACCTCAAGCCAGTCAATAAAGCAGTAGCTAAATCAAAACGCCTTGTGCCAAGCAGGAAAGAAAAGCATTGCAGTTGACATGCGGGAGAAAATCAGACAGACAAGGTGCCTCATTTCAGAATTGGTGACAGGGGCTACGCGCGCCAGTTCCGAGGACCGAAGAGGTGGTCGACACAAAGGGTGATCTGCAGAAACGGTGGAGTCAATTACGAACTAACAGTTGGAAACAAGAAATGGATCGGGCACGCAGGTCAGCCGAGACCGAACCAGTGGAAACACAAGGGCCCGCAGAGAACATATAACGAAGAGCGGCCAGAAGGAGAAGAAAACCACCAAGGCAACTAATTGATGTCAAAACAAAGAAAGCTGAATTGAAGCAAGCCTGCATGGTGGGGAAGCAGCTTCACTTCGGAGGAGGTGTCACAGAGGCGAAACAGCTGACTACGATAGCGCACACTGGAGGGCGAGATGGACCAGACCACGTGAGCGGCTGACAGACTCGATGTCATGGGCAAACCGGAAGCTGAGGAAATCAGACCGTCATCACCGCCCGGGTTCCTATGTTGCGGACATGATCCTACCTACAGCCATACAGTGAATGCCGCTATCAGGGTCGAATCTGTTCAGACAGGAGATGTGAGTCACCGCAGTGATAGCGGTGAGGTAAGCGCATGTGACATATAAAAGTAACCATGTTCTGTGCCTAATATACTTCGGTCTAGCAGGCTACGTGTTTTGTTTTCCCCGCCTGGTTGGCAGCGAAAAGAGGCAGAGGCGAATGGCAGCGTCACAACAGAAAAGAACATACCCAATCATCGCAGTGGAAGGTAAGGTGTAGATGTGATCCAACGCAAAATGAAGTTGTGCAAGCGAACTGACAAGATCATATTGATCATCGGACAAGGCATGAGAAGAGAGAACCTCGGATCCAATGCTGGACATGGCGCTAGACGACAGCGGGAGTAGAATCCTTCTCAGACTGGAAAAGATTGTCAGCAATTCGTTATCCTGAATGGAAAAAGCATTAGATAAAAGTAGATATCAGACAGAAGAATATTCGGGTGTATCGGCTGACAATGAACCAGTGGAGAATAAGCGGCAAAGTTTTAGTAAGTGAGTTAAAGGAAGGAGGAATGTGACAGAGACCGCAACACTACTCTAGGTTCCGCGTCTTCAAGGAGCACAACCTACCTTGTTGTCTGATACCAGATTTATTAACAGTCTACGATGGGGCCCTAAAATTCTCCATTGTATCCAATTGTTCTACAGCCTATCCTACTACTCTGGTCATTCTACTCTGTTAATGCGTAACAAAGGGTCATTCCTTCGGGTGTGAGTTAGAGCAGACTACATTGCCAACTGCCCAATAGTAGATGTTGGTCTATCTCAAAATGTCTCATCCGGTCATATAGGAGTAGAACGCCCGTATTCATGCATGTGAATACATGTGTAGTTGACAGTGTCGTCCATCGAGAAAACGCTGAATCATGCGCGGGTCGTTCAATTGGAATCAACCTGTGGCATGCCATAAGGTAAGTTCACCAATCGATACATAGGGCTGGTTGGAATGGAGACAGGCGAGATAAGTGGAAACAGCGGTGCATTATAACCCGGCTACTGCGATAGAATTGTGGTGGCGCTTCGACAAGCGTAACTGGCCTGAGCAAGGAGTGTGCTCAGCGTTATCCCACCTAAAGATAAAATGGTTACTGGCAAGGATCTGTAGACTGAAAGTTACCTTCCAAAAACCTGCCTTAGCAAAACAGACATTCCTTACAATTAGGCTTTGCAAATATGGAATGTGATGTTTTGAGAAGAGTTTTGAAAAGCCATGCAGACTAAAGACTATTTGCTGTCGCATAGTCTATTCTCCCATCGCAGTATTGATCGCCGTTGCAAGAAACAAGTGTGGTAACGCTGCCCAATTTGTTTCAGGCGGGACAATGAGCGTTCATTCCAACATATTCATTGATGAGGCAATATTCTATTAGCAGGGAACTGAGAAGCTGCATTTCTAGGCAATATCTAATCCACAAGGATACTGAGAATCACATATTGTACAAAGCGAGAAGCTCATTGACTTGAAAAAAGGAATGACAAATCGTGGGACCACAGAACACACATGTGGATCCTCACGCATACTGTGCACCACAATCCCGTTATCCCTGTGATACGTTTTCGGACATATTATGCTGCAAACGCACATTTGGCTCAAATCTGATGACCGGGCGGGCTAATCCTTTCCATCTCTGCGACCGATCCACCGGTGATCGAACACCTCAAGATAATGCCGCACTGTTTGTGCATAATGGGCAGGTGTGTCATATTGAATTTATAAAGGCTGAAGCGAAGTGCCGAAGTAGCTAACGATAATCGGTGGTGAAAATATCACTAACTTGTAGCTCCTACTGGCGTTCTACGCCCATGTAACCGAGTGAGACAATTTGAGATAGACCAACATCTACTATTGGACAGTTGGCAATTTAGTCCGCTCTAACTCACACCTGAAGGAATGACCCTTTGTCACGCAGTAACAGAGTAGAGTGACCAGAGTATTGGGAAAGGTTGTACTTGAAATTCGCAATCCTAACTTTGTTGCAGACTTACAGATGCACGGAAAAAGGGCAACAGTAGTGGGCAGGCGTTTCATATTGGTGCCCCACTACCATGCAACCAACAGTAGCAACATGCTGGTTGGAATACTGCGAATCGGTGATTCGTAGATTACAAGGTAGACACTCGAACTATTTCCCCACCAGCCGACTACACATTTTCTCTGCCAATTACATTCATAACGCTTTCACATTCCTACTTAAGAAAATCATGTTCCTCCTTAGATCTACCAAGGCAGTCGTTGACGCTATTAACTTGCATCCCACTGGTGCGAACACTCTTAGAAAATGTGTGCTGTTCTTTGAATAATTAACCCAAAATCAGCTGAAAGTATAGCAGATGAGTACACAGAGTGGGACGCGATTGATTGATTCAGATTGGTCACGCAGTGAGCAGTAGCATTTAGAGGTGTTCACACCCGTTGGAAGCAACTTGGTAGCATTAAGGATCATTTGGGGAGAGCTGTAGAGGAACATGATTTCCTTAACTAGGAATTTAAAGGCATTATGGATGCGATTGGCTAACAGGTGTAGAAGAATGCGAAATTATACACCCTGGTGAACTCCGAAGGAACGGAAGGGATGATGGGGCATGCGTACTCTTGGAAAGACAGATCGGCAACTAACATCCTTACGAGGAAGATAGAAGGTTCGCGCTAATTGTATGAGAGAAATAAGCACCCAAGTGCATAGGCAATATATTCACGCGCCCGTGATATCAGTTATAGCCCAACTTTCGGTTGACATGAAGACAGTCGTTAAGGGAATAGGTCACACGAGTTTTAGTGATGCTGAAGTCAAACCCGACAGACCAATGAACTGGTTAGTGAAATATCACATTCTTCGCAAAGAATAACACAAGCCCACAAATGGCGTGAAAGTATCAGAGTTTAGACGAAACGTACAAAAGCCACAAAACAAAAGGGACGTAAGCAACGAATTAAACTCATCACGATAAAGTGACAGGTTCTGTGGAACTTGACGACGTTATTTGTAAGGCCAGAAAACGAAGAATATGGCGCGTGTACATCCTAATTGAAATCCCAATATACATGATAAAATACAGGGATACAGTGCGAAAATGGTGCATAGGAAAAAGACAAACACCAAGCGCAATTTTAAGGTGAATCGTGACTGCTTCTCAAAAGGAGCATATGTAGCGAGAGGTCAGATATAGTATTCCATATGGGAACGTAGTCATAAGCTAACCGCAACCGCAGGAACAAAACCGCTTAATGATGACTGAAGTTTCGCTCACATATAAGTAGCGCGAGCACATGTTCGGCGGAATGAATATATCCGGAACAAAGACAGAAACAGGGAAGTCGAATATAACTGTCAAGTTTTGGCAATAATTAATAGTAGGGTTGTGGCTATTAGGAAGAGACGTTCGGTATTGCAATATAGTCAATTGCATTTCGTTAGCTTCTGAACTACTAGAGTTGGATTGAACTATCGAAGCTCCTGTTAATTGCGCAGGTCGCCAGCGTCTAAAACGTTACGGCGAGACCAGTGGTACTGCGAGGGCCTCACAGATATGACTGGGGACATCAGGAAACTGACCGCGCTGGACCACCAATGCCTGTGAAGTAGTGCTTAGATTTAGTTGGCTCGAGGAATGAGCCGTTTTATGGTTCGCTATCTGACATATGACAGTAAACCCACAATGAACTTGTCGTCTTTAGTGACTCGGTAAAGCGCTCACTAGCCTGTAAAATGGCTACCGATACCGGATCTAGCTGAATGGAACCTTAATGTGCTCAGTCAAGGAAAGCAAAAATGTTAGGTCGCGTTGGCTTTTTTCGTCCACCTAGGAGGGTACGCAAAGTTAGCCACATCCATATGCAGGTATGTCCCATCCGATACGGTGAGATTATGAAATCCCTTTATATCCCTAAATTTCCATCACAGATGAAACGGTGACTAAGACTGCTCAGCTCCTTAAATGAGTTGTCAGTAACAAAAATTACAGTAAAGCGCCGTACACCCTAAATTTGATCTACAAGCCAAAGTCCAATCATCTCCACACAAATAAGTGGTATTCCTAAATCTTGCTCCAACTGTATACACAAACAGTTTGTTTTGGGACTCTCGAGCTTATGCAACAGACGATCACCCACTTCGACAGCAGCCTTTTTGTAAACGACCTAATCTTATGGAAACTGGAATTGTGATTATGCCTAAGTAATCCGACTTATCTTGGTTACACATCAAATAACGAATATATGGAATGCCGAATTCGGAGATAATCGAAAACGTCCTATACAATGAATCGGAAACAGCATCCGCGTGATAGTTCCACATACGATTTTGGCAACCACCCTTAGTTGCTCAGTGAAGCAAAATGTGAGGTACACAATGGCAATATCAGTCTGGAAGGCAGTGAGTTGAATAGGGCGGAGCTTTATGGAGCCCTCTACGTCATGAAAATATCAACAATCCCATCACACGAATGACTGTTCAATGAAAGTGTACAACCTAACATACGAAATGGCGCTGAGGAGAAAGTTCGGCTGGATCAGTACTCAATGATTTGTCGGTTTACAACAAAGACATACCCAAGCCGGCAGGTAAACATCAGCTGACACGAGTGACCCGGAGGTCTGAACGAAGAATGCCCCATTCAGTTCACTGTGCCGATCGTCGTCGGCTTCGTCATCACTAGAGAGCCGGTCCGAGTTCTCTGTGCATAGAAGTGCCAACGGTTTGAGTGGTGTAAGCGGACGAGGGCAAGGGAGGTTAGGAGGGTAGACCGTCTTAGCCAACAGCCATGCGATGCAGCGAACGAGTTCAGCAGCCACGTCGCTTGACAGTGAGTCACAGCACATGATCGACTTCCAGTTAGGCACCATCTGTGGAGCTTCTTCCTTTGTATCAGTAGAATCGATTTCCATTTCGACCGGGTCCCGCTGATCGACAGGCGACGGGGTGGTGGGAAGGGACATCAACTTGGGCACAACGACAGCAACCAAGGTGTACAGCAAGTCTAGGGTAGTGATGGCATGTGAAGAAAAGAGTGGCTGACATATACAGGAACGGCAACAGAATAAGTCGGAGAGTGAATACGGAAATACATGACGTACGGATGGACGGGATGAGGTGGTCATCATCAACGGAAGGGCAGTCGAAATGGTGCCGAGAAAGACACATGCGCGGAACCATCCGAAGTGCGAGGGAGCAGTCAAATAACCGTGGCACAATGCCGCAAATGATGCGTTCGTTTGTGGCGAACCCGTCGGCTGTGGGCACAAGTAGCTGGTTCAACGCAGCTGCCAACAAATAACGAAGAGTGGAGTCGCGTTCTTCCTGTGGGCACACAAAGCGGACCCAAAGACGATGAACTTATCTAACCGATAAAAATTTTCGTTACTTCGAATATGCATGGAACTAACTCATCTGTTATGCAGCAACTCAAAGAGAAAAATAAATCAGATCACGAATAACGCATAGAAACGGACCAAATGCACACAGCGTTATACCACAAAGTACACCAGAGTGAACATTAGCGCGTATTGCAGGAGCTGAGGATGGAAGCAAAACTGAGTTGGAATACGAAAATTAGATGCTCAAGGTATATACAAAGGAGTTCACATTGAAGATTTTGTGCGCCCTTTCGAGTTTACATGGACGAACATGCAGAGTAGGTAAAAAAGAAACTGTTCCTATACGAGTGCAGACTTTTGATGAATTAAAAGATAGTTATGTAACTCTCAGGTATCTAACATCACTATATATGAAGGCAAAGCATAGAAATAACGTAGTGACAGGAGCCTAGCGGCGACAGCTGTTATTCGGTGCAATCGAGCCACTGCACAAAGAAAACGAAAAATCATTCGACGCGGTATGCACTCGTGCAAAAAATCACGGGGTATTGAAACCATTGTAGCTATGCTAGTAATAAGTAGTAACACCTCAGGAGCATGAGGAAAGAACCTAAAAAGTTTTAATGCTTCCAATTCTGAAGTATGCGAATACCTACCGACTGACGCTGAAACGGTAAATCACCTTAAACAGCACAGATGAAGACGCACTGTAGAATGCGTGCGGCAAAACGAACTGCTATGATGTATGACAAAAAGGAGAGATAACAAGTAGTACCCTGGGTCCCGCCTATCTGAATAATATACTATAGAGCAATCAGAAATGCATTCTGTACAACTTCTACGAAATATGGTGAAAAATCTTATAAAAAATTGTCAGCCGTAAATATCGCTATCGTTCTCAGGTAACATTTAAAATATCTGACTTACGATATTTCAGGATTCACAAATGTGATATGTCATCGTAAGTGTGTAATCGTTCTCTGAATCGAATGGTGGTAAAATATAAATCTAACAACCTTCTGAACTGCTGCACAGATGTTGCCTCAATCACATGTTCAGGCAAACTGTTACAAATATTTACCACTCTCCGCTCGAAGCACAGTGGGTGGGGAACACGTTTCACATCCGGCACAAGGTTGTATCTGCGTGCGCGTGTGTTGCACGGCCCTCGTAAGTGCAGCATTGGCCTCAGCATAGGGAAGTCACCGAGGTGTAGAATACGGTAGGTCATAATGTGGTCGACTCGCATCCGACGACAGGATAAGGTGTAGCGTCTTAGTTTCTCGCATCGTTCTTCATACAGCAAGTCAAGTGAACTCGGGATGAGCGTGGTAGCAACATGTTGGACCCGTTCGATCTTTTGTGCCTCGCCGCGGGCAATCGGAAAGTAGGCGGGCGAATCGTACTCTAGCATTGGTCTAATGATGGAAGAGACGAGTGACAACCTCTTCGGACCATGTGCCCAAGCTACCTTTGAGCGCCTAACGCATGTGTAGTCCGTTACGATATAGTCTGTTTGTGTTATCCACGGACTTCAAATCGCAGCACGAGAGTACACCTAGGTCCTTCACGGAGGGTGTGGGATATAGCGGTTGGCCGTCAAGGGTGTAGGTTCGGCCGTCAGCACCCTTCCCCAGGCTCATAAATACAGGCTTGGCTGGGTTGCCCGGGAGAAGAACTTCTGCAGACCAATTAGATAAGCGGTTAAGGTCTTGCTGAAGTACGCCACAGTCGTCGGAAGCGTCAATTTCTTTCCAAATCTTCATGTCTTCCGCGAACAAGGCACACGGCGACCGGAGAAGCTGCGGTAAATCGTTGATATGGATCAGGAACAGAGTGGGCCCCAGAACAGTGTCTTGAGGCAGGTCACTTGTGGAGGGATACCAGTCAATTGGATGGTCGTCGACCTGTACCCTCCACTTTCGTTCAACAAGAAAGTCGCAGATCCACCTGTGCAGGGAACCGCCGACACCGCACATCCTGAGTTTGTGAAGAACTTCATGGCTGACCTTGTCTAATGCTTTACTGAAATCGATGAACATCACGTCGACAGACTTCCCCTTGCTTATTGACTTCAACCACGCATGTCTCGTCATAATCAAGTTTGTAATGCATAAGCGGCCTTGCTTAAAACCGTGCTATGCGGGCGTCAGGACCTCTTTTGACTGTAGCAACTGCAATAATCACTTTTTACGATTTTCTTAGCAACGTTTGCCAAAATAGGTGACAGACAAATTGACCTGTAGTTGTCCACTTTGCTAGGGTCGCCGCCTTTCGAAATAGGCTTCAACACCGAACATTTCCAGTCAATCTGTAACGAACCTTCGGAAAGTGCCCTGTTGAAAAGGTCAGTCACGACAGGAGAGATGATGGCCGAAAGTGACTTGAGAATCAAGGGTGAAGCCCATCAGGTCCGGCAAGTTTGGTGCCATCAAGGCTGGCGAGTAGTTGACATATTTCTTCAACGCCGCAATCCAGAATGTCGAGTTCGGTAAAAGCAGTACACCTCGAGCTCGGAACAGACACTTGGTCATTTGCAAATACAGAAGCGAAGTGCGCCGCCAACGCGGACGCACGCTCAGTGCTGGAGATTAGAGGCTATCTGTCTGGGCCATCCAGCATTGGCACATCACCTGCCGACTTAAGGCGTCGCTTCACGTAAGCAAACATTCTCTTTGGGACAGTCTTCGCGGCAATTGCGAGCTGCTCTTCGAAATGTCGGTGCTTATTCCTTTTTGCACTGTTGCAGAGGTTCCGCTGACTTTTATACCCTTCGTAGTCATTGACAGAGCCAGATAGGAGAAATCTGTCTCACAGTTTGTGCCGCCTCCGAGCCAGATTTCCATACTCTTTGTCACACAAATGAGGCTTAATTGGTCTAACCTTACATTTCAAGGGCACAAATCGGGAACACAATGATGTCAAGCACCCTTCCATAAATGTCGTACAGTCTTTCACAGATGCAGCTTGTGACAGAGACCAATCCAGTTGGCTCGCGGCTCGAGCTAGACCGTCGAAATCCGTTTTCCAGTAATTGTAAGCTGATTCCAGGGGACATGAATACGGCAAAGGTAATTACATACCAGCTATAAGCACTGAGTGGTCGCTTGTAGCCAGGGGCTCCAGGATCCGAACGTCACGCAAACGTTGTTCGTAGCTAGTTAACATCAGGTCGGGGCAAGACGGGGTTGTGCGTGTTGGTGAGCATATATGTTGCAATGCACCAGTTTCAAGTACCAAATCCAGGAACTTCGCTTCAACCTCACCAGGTCCAGGCATCAAATGCACATCAAATTATCGTATTGGAGGACAGTAAAAATCGCCCATAAGTAGAAAGTGTGTACGACTCATGTGGATCCGAAGATGGGGCAGCCAATCCAAACAACGACTCAGGGGTTTGCGATAGACTGCGACCACAAGTAGTTCTTGGCGCCCGAGGTGGATGGAGCACCACAGTAGCTCACACAAACCATCGTCACTTCGGTAGGTGCTCACAAGTTTCCCACGCAGGGAAGACAGGATGTAGAGTAAGACACAACCGCGGGCATTCGTTAATCTATCGCATTGGAAGCACGAGTAAGTGTTGAGTTCAAGTTTCTGAATGTATAACACTGAATGCAGCCATGTCTCTGCGAGTTTCACTACGTCTGACCGTTCAGACGTAACGAAACAACAGAGCTCATCGCGCTTGTTCATAACCCTGCAAAAGTTTATGAAAGCTACTCGCAGGCCGTAGCAGGAGCCGCCAAACGTGCTTGAAGTGTGAGCAACCTGTTTATCCTGATTCGCAGATTCTTGGAAACCACCCGAAAATTTACAATATGGAGATTTGTTTCCCCCAGACCATTACGTTTTTTCAGCTTAATGATGGCAGACTTGAGCCGTTCCCGGTCTACTGCATCCAGGTATGGACGAACATTGATCTTCAAACCTTTCCGCCTACTTAGGCGGGACAAGATCAGTCTTGGACAGACTTCGTCTACATAAGTGATTCTCATAGGCCGAGTTTGTTGATCACCATGCTTTCGAAGACGGGTAACTTGCCTCAATTTTACCGAGTCCTCACCAGCGTCAAGGAGTCTGTCAATTAGACTCTGTAAAGCTCAATATCGTGATCGTAGCGCACTTGGGTGATGGATAACTGGACTCCGGCGCGTGGAAGATCACGAGGTTATAACGCCTCTGGTCGGACAAGGCTGACCTCAGGTTGTTTGCCTAGCTGCTGACTTACAGAAGTTAAACGCCCAAGATCCCTTGGTAATTTCGTTCTTTCCACAGGTATTCAGTAGTTAAACTTGCACCTGCTGAGACATCAGTGCTCGTTGGACACAAAAATTTATGCCAAGTGAAACTGCGCCTCTCACAACGGTTGGACTTTGTGCCGGTGAGTTTGCAGGGGTATAGGAGGAAGACTGAGCTGAAACCTGAAGGCTCTTCGGGCTAGGTTGTTGGGTCAAACACACGGGGCTGTTCGCAACGAAATGAGTAAGCCTACACGTCGGCTTTACTCTCCTTAGCTGTATGTTGTTTCGGCAATTTTCACATAAAGTTTGAACGAAATAGTTTTGGATTTCAGGACGATGAAAATGCTCAACTGAGAATCCAACATATGAAATGTGGTATTTAAGTTAGCACAAAACACACGTGAGGGCATTTGCACGGTGTCCGACTATCTTGGAACAAGTACCACAGGGTGATTGCTTCAGCATTGTGAATAACCCGAAAACAAGATGGCGGCCAATTGACGGAGAAAATGGCGATGGCAAGATCACCGAAATTAAGCGGTGAAAAGACAAGTAATAATGGTTGAAAAATTCAGAATCAGAAATGAAACTGAATGGTATCTAAATTTCCAGGAAATACTTCCAATGAACGAAGAAATTCAACACAAAGTGATCTTGTCAACATAGCTAAAAATAACCGACCGGAAACCGTTATTCGCGGGCTATCAGGGCAAAAATGGTTAGTATACATCAAGGAGAATGATCGAAAGTAACCCATGATAACTTAAACAATCTTTAACTGAGCTGAGGTAGCACAGCTCGGTTGCTGATAGAGATAGGGCTTGAGTGATTCAGAAATATCAATGACCGGAGACCAGAAGCCATACGATGTTAGTAAGTAGCGGGAACACGCACTTCTAATCAAGACGACAAGTATGCATCCATATCAAATGACGAGGTAGTTGACGTCCTGAGACGCACAGAGTGCCTTTTATAGTCGGGATAATATTGCTTCTGAGTGAAAATAAAAGACATTGTTTCTGGGACCGCAAATGTGGGATAATTGGTTCGTAAAACAACCAAACCGAGCTACTCTGGTGTTCCTCACAGTATCTCACCGGAGGTCTTACGAGGTGGAGCAAGTCCCTTTAGAATAGGAAAACTGGGAGGAGAACCATACCCGTTGCGGCATGCGTGTAGCTCGTAGCAAAGTTTGCGCAATAAACTCCGTCGTTTGGTTGCAACTGAGCCGCCAGACGCAGTGGAGCCTGCAGAGGTATGATTGAATTCCGTGGTGAAGGTCCAGGAAACCGAGCTCAGTGACAACTCATGTTATCGCTGCCATAGACTCTCAGATGTCTGCGGTGATGTCGTGTTCCACATCCGGTCCTCTCTGTGTGGAAGACTTGAAAGTATCTACAGAGGCGACGATCGCCTGTGTGAGCAGCTGTGGTTCTCGATCAACCTCGGGTGCAGAGCTTCTCGTGAGTGAATTTTATCGCAGTCCACTGAGCCGTTGTTTAGACTGAATGCCGCATCTAGGAAGCCACATGTGTTGTCCTCATTTCATACTCACGAGTGGCTTTAATTTATCCCGACTAAACTGGCCTGAAGTTGTAATCATGTCCAGACATAATGAGATGGAAGCAAAGTTCATAGACGAAGTAATTGAAAGTGGAGCAGCGCAACACTTATGCCAGCCGACACATATAAAGCCGCACACAACTCCCTCGTGCCTAGACATGATGTTGGCAAGCTATGAACAAGCATGGATTTACCTTCACTGGATTCGCGTTCACTGGAACTAGCTTACAACAGTTAGAAAACTGATTTCGACGGTCTAACTCAAGCTACGAACAAAGTGGAATGATGTCTACCGCAACTTGCATCCGTTGAAGATTGTTGGAGGGTTATTACAGTGTCATTACTATGTTTCCGGATTGTACCACTGAAGTGTCGAAAAGTTGAACCAGTCAAGCCACATTGGTTAGACAAGGAGTATGGCAAAATGGTTCGGCGGTGGCACAAATTATAGGGATAATTCCTCCTCTCCGACATCCACAACGACTACGAGGTGTATAAAAGGCAAATAATAATTTGCAACCGTGCCAAAACGAGCAAGCGCCAGCATTTCGAAGAGCAGTTCGCAACCGTCGCAAAGTGCATCCTGAAAAGAATTTTTGCTTACGTGTGGCGGCGCCTCAAGCCTGTAGGTAGTTTACTAGTGCTAAAGGCCTCGGATGGACAGCACTTAATCTCCAACATTGAGTATGCGTGCGCGTTGAGGGCGCACTTCACCTCCGTGTTTAAAACTGACCAGCTGTCTGTACCGAGTTCGACGCGTACCTCGATTACCGAACTCAATAGTCTGGGTTGCGGTGTTGAAGAGGTGCGTCAACTACTCTCCAACTTTGGCGGCACCAAATCTGCTAGCCCTGACGAATCTCGCCTAATGATTCTCAATTCTCTATCGGCTACCATCCCGCCTGCCGTGACTGACTTGTTCAACAGGTCAATGTCAAAAGATTCATTGCTGAGCGAATGGAAATGCCCAGTAGTAAAACCGATTCCGAAGGGCGGTGACCTCAGCAAAGTGGAAAACTACCGGCCGATTTGTCTGACATCTATTTTGGAGAACGTTGCCGAGAAAATAGTGAAAAGGGGTCTACTACGGCTGCTCTAGTCAAAAAAATCTAGTTACATCCGCACGCCACGGTTTTGTGCTGGGTCACTCATGCATTACCAACCTGATGGTGATGAGGCATGACTGGTTGCAAGCAGCGAACCAGCGGAAACCTGTCGACGTAATCTACGTCGATGTTAGCCAAGTGTTCCATAAGTTAAAACATGAAGTCCTGTTCGACAAACTGAGGGTCTGCGGTGTAGGTGGATCATTGCGCCAGTGGATCCAGGACTTTCTCGTTGGATGAAAGTGGAGGGTACAAGTCGACAGCAATCTAACCAATTGGTATTGCTCTACTACTGAAGTACCCCAAGGCACGATGCTGGGGCCCACTCTGTTCCCAACTCACATCAACAATCTGTTTCAGCTTCTTCGATCGCCGTGTACCCTGTTTGCGGATAATCTGAAGATTTGGAGAGTGATTAACAACCCGACGACTGCGGACCACTTCAGCAAGACATCAGCTGCCAATTCCCCACTCCCTGTGTTTCGAACTGAGAGTGGTAAATGTTTGAAACGGTGCACCAGAACAAGTCATGGGAGCCAAATCTGTGCAGCAGTTCAAAACCTTGTTGGATTTGAATTTGGACGCCACTCGATTCAGAGAACGATTGCACATTCGAAAAGACCTCTTACAACTAGGAGTCCAATGATCCTGTAATTAGGACATTTTGAAGTGCGATATAAGAAACTGAAGAACCTTAAACTATCAACAGGTGGATGATACTTTTATGGGATTTCTGAATATTCCCAGTCGGAATTCGAAAACAGGAGAACACAGGTGAACAATTGTTTTTGATGATTCATCTTCAGACTGGTACAATCAAGGGGGAAAAAAATAAAATCGACCCATTGGCTCAAAGTACACAGTTCATTTGCGGTTCCGTATGGGAGGCTAAAAGTTTACCTCTGACCTGACAGGTCGACGGCATAGTACCGGGCTTGATCTGTGGCAGTCTAAGCATCGTCCATTCTCGCTGACCAAGGAAGCTGAAAAGCATGGATCTACTTCTTTTGTGAACATAAAGAAGATTGATACAAAGAATTTTAGAGAAAAACCCAAGCCGGTATCAGTTTTAACCGCGGCGAAAAAGGAGTTATTTATAAGAGCACTTTTCAAAGGGGATGCTACTTCCGAACGCCTAACCGAGGCTTTCAGAGGCAGTCAAGTCGACATTCCCAGAAGCTACGCTGAAGTGCACATTTCCTGCTAAACCACTTATTCACAAAATAAGAATATGCTACCAATACTGACCTCATCTATGGTTAATTCATAGTACAAATGTGCCTGTGGCGCTACTTATATCGGTCGAACGACAACGCACTTGTCCAAACGCGTGAAGGACCACTGTCTAAGCTGGTTGCATCAAGGCGCAACTGGGGCTATTAGCAGTACCGTTTTCGTCCTTATTAGCGACACTGGGCACCAAGTTGATGTAAAGCGTGCTTTCAGTACAAGTTACAGGGTCCCCAGCATCAATCCACAGGTCTGCGCATCCGTGCACTCGCGACAGCTGAATCGATCTGCATCTGGTTGTAACAATCTTCTTTATGCTCGCAAAAGAGGTTGATCCATGCTCTTCAGCTTCCTTGACCAGCGAGAACGGACGATGCTGAGGTCAACTGCCACAGATCAAGCTCGGTACTATGCCGTGGACCTGTCAGGTCAAAGGGCAACTTTTAGCCTCCCACGCTGAACCGCAATCGAACTGTTTTATTTGTTTTATACGCAGATAGCCCCCATTCAGTTATGTCGACTTCCAAACAAGGCCCAATATTTCAAAGAAAAACGAATATGATCCTGTGTGACGGCACTGTATGGTGAGTCACCCAGACCGCATTGTGATGCTGACATTGCGAATGCATCTAGGTAATGCAACACGAAATATTACTGCTGACGTGAAACGAGGTAACTGATTCCGACGACAGTTAAACGTAAGAGGACGAGTTGAATGGCTGGGAATGAGAAGAGAATGGATGGGGAGCACGTCCATTAGGTAAATACGCCGAATCAAGGCGAACACTGTATGACCCCAAACTGATGATCATCGTTGATAGGCAGGGTGACATTGAGATGTTCTCCTTAGGGTTTCGGCTATGGTGTCCCATAAGCAAGTTTATTCCATTGATAACTCATCAGCATACAAAAAAGCTTGATCAGACAGAGGAGACATTTTCAGCGTTCCGCGCTTTCAACGCTATACTCAACGATCAGCTTCGTTCCTTGGAAGATTGTTCGGCCCGACAGCTTCGTCTCAACGCTATAGGGAGGCTAAAAGAACTGTCAGCCGTACGGTTTAAAGCAGTAGAATTCGTGACTCACTATAAGTCTGACATGTGATATGTAATTCTGAACAAGTTCGAATGTCCAAAATATAACCAACAAGATTTGAGGAAAAATGGGCCAAAATAGAGAACAAACACTATGACTAACGACTCCAAGTAAAAAGAACGACGCAACCATGCAGTAGAAGGGGAGACAACGAGACAACATCGTGTTCCAAAGAGATGAGATCGCTTAGGCTAAACCGACGCATCGAAAAATTCCAGGCGATGGAAGTTCAACGCACAAGTGGGGGAAAATGGCTCACCGAATTGGTCGACTGACACTCGGATGTCCACGTAATCGGAGACAGGAACAAGTTTATAAAGGTATTAGTCTTGGGTGTTTTGCTGAACTCCACTGGATCAAAAACACTGGGAGCGTTTGAGCCAGTTCCATCAACCAAGTAACCGGCCTTAATCGGTAATTGTCTGTCGATAAACTGTGCAATGATTCGGAAATACTGACGATGTGCAAGAAACCGATAGAGCCAAAAACGATTTGCAGCAATAAGAAATTCAGGGGAAATGAACGGGAGAGTTTTGGGTGTTTCCTGGGTGGGGTTAATCATATTCTCGAGGACACGCAGTGGAACTGCAAAGTTCGTTGAAAAGGACTGAGGAGGCAAGTCTGCGATATACCTGAAAGAAAGAACACTGCGCTGATAAATCACATCAAAATAAGAAGCAAAATGTAAGAAGATCGGAAATACAAGGAGCAACCGCGATAAGCGATAAAATATTTAATAATATCTGGGTATATGTGTTGAAATCTTTGACAGAGTGTGGTACTCAACTGATGAAGTGGATGGGTAGTTTACCTCACAATCTCAGAATGAACATATACATTTTCAGCAAAGCCTAGAACGGTCTAGTGTGTTTTCGATCGTGATTGGTTGACAATTTCTACTCAGATCACACTGCATGAATGTAGGCGCATGCTTTAAATTCACATGCCCCTGGTCCCCAAGCTAAACCATACATGTGTCAAGGTCGAATGTAGCGGATTTTATCCGGTGGCACAATCTTTCACAGTCCAAAAAATTAGGATTCTTTTGCATGTCAAGACTGTGGCTAAAATGATGGGTGATCCAATTCAAAGTACCCGGCACTGAGGATGATGTTGCATATACCATGTTTTATCGGTACAAATGAGCAGACTTGATAAAGTTCGGCACCATTTAATTATAGTAATTCGTGTGGCTCCCTTTAAATGTCAGCACACCGACATGTGTTGGTTGCGCGGCTGTAGTCTGGATAGAAAAAGAAGAAGTCAGTCGATGGTTTGGTCAAGGGAATGAAGGCTCTCTTTCCATACTTCGTCTCGGATGGTGACCACCGACTTGTGCGCACGTTTCGTTGCATACCCTTGTTGATATGGCCAGGAATCCATGGTGTTTGAGTTGTGAGGTTCCTTGTCCCTCCCCATCCAACCACGACCTCATCTCCGATGCATGGTAAAGCAAGGCAGGACAGTCATTGTGCGGTCTTGGAGTAAGATACACAATCTCAATTGAGCCCACGGTTTGCTCTGAGTTAAACCTCTGACATTGTTTTCGTACGACTGCCTGATCACGTTGAATTGTGGCACACTATCTAAGATATTTCAAACTTCCAGCCAACGTGTAGAATGACGACGATTAGTAATGTTAAATTCTCGTAAAATATGATAGTTTTACTTCTTAATACGCGCACCCTGCGTAGCGCTCTGAATAGAGTGAGCGACTAACTGGCGTTTGGCTGCATAACGTTCCCCGTTAATAAAGGAACATCCAAGATGACTTATTGTGCTGAATGGGCACCCGCTCAGAGCTGGGAACGCTTACGTGAGCAAGACTTATTATTTTACTAAGGTCAGAAACGTTCGTAATATTGCGTCGTGCACGCTACCAATATGCGAATTTAGGACCGTGGTGAGCATTAAGACACACATAAGCGGGTAGGACACATCATCATCACCGTGCATGGTGTATCTGCAAACTTAAGCGCCCTGTTGTTGTTCGAATTCACAGCTTAGAATTACAGTTTTTTCCACAGAAGCTGAGCTTATAAACAGAGTAACGTACCGCAAAATAACCCATAGAGTGCAACCGAGTGTGTATCGAAAATCAGCGCCGATTCGATCAGAAGGAGAATCGGTTGACAGCCAGGACAGTGAAGCATCGCGACCGACGTTTGATAGTAGAAGACGGCAAGCGACAAACTGGAGAGGAGGGAACGTACAGGGATAACAAAATGACTTAATGTGAAATCCGCGAAATAGCAGCATGAGGATAAGAATGAAGACAACACAGTTTAGGAGAAGGGATCGTGACTTTTTGGCGGGGGACCCAACTTGCAAGCACTATTAAGTGAACGGACAGCGACACGCTATCCCAAGTATGGACCACACCCGAAGCAGAAGTGTTGGGTAGTGTGCGACGGCCGGCAAAACTTCACCCCACAACCGATCTCATAACTGCTTGCAGTATTGAGAGCTGAAGCTGGGACACAGAGACTTACAGCTGAAGTCCCCACCACCACTGTCGTAATGCAAGCAGGATTTCGTAGCGGCATGCGATGTCCAACAGTCTGCTCACGTTAACAAAAGACCGGTTATCCCCTCCTATTTATCAGTTGAATTATCTCTCAAATTACCGGCAATAGCTCCACTCAAACTTAGCAGATGTGTCAAACTTTGGAATCCTGGTTCTAATTTTCGCTAATGAGTTTGCCATGCGTAGCTCGATGATTCCGACGGAAGAGTACATACTTGGTTCCAGTGGTTCTGATTGCATTCAAAAAATCCAGCACACAGCGGGGTATATCGCACTAGAATAGGAGTGGTGACACTTAGTTGGAAAGGTTGGAGGAGATAATGGGAACGTCGTTGGTCCCACAATCAGTAGAGTTTACAATGATATGCTGCAGCTTGTGCTAGCAGTGCCAAATCATAACCATGCATACATAATAAAAAGGCGTCGGAAGTGAAATCAGGGTGACCGGAAGGCTAAGAAAACACATGGAATGTGTGGAATTCACAATGCTGACATGAATGAATTCATACTATGAATAGCAAACGGCATCAGACGAGAGAGAGACGCGTAAAGATGGGTCAGTGTCGGAAAGTCCGTACTGACTGATTGACGAAAACATCCGTGCTTAAAGGGAACACGTGCCAAGCCGGTAGATGGCTGGAGTTGGTATCTCGAGGCTTGAAATCGCATGAAATACACAACAGTTGATATGGACTAGACGCGCTCTCCTCTACGTTCCGCCCGGAAAATGGTAGGAAGCAAGTGGGTACAGTTAATACCACAATAAGACCATAAAGTTCATCGGAAATAGTTTGGCTGATCAAAATTAGTAGCCCAACTTAAGGGCCTGCATCGGTTGCGGACATGAAAAACGAATGTTGCGATAAACACAACAATAGTTGAATGTAACGAACAGCAGATATTGTCGCATATATGTGAGTGGTTCGTAGGGCGCATCATGAAGATGTTAATGTGAGCTACGATATTAAAAAAAACTTTTCGCGCTAGCAACGCGTTAACCGACTTCCAGAGCAATAACAGTCGTGGCTGGGGTGCCTACGTAGGAGAGTGAGTTGATGGATAATTGGCGGTCTCACCTTGCGCAACCCGAGGGGATGGTGCCAAAGTATAGTAGCTTGAGAACTGTGAGGTAGGCACCTTGTCAACACACACGCACACACATCAAGCGGAGCCACGCCGTGGACATCAAACAACCGAAATAGAATTGGAGGGAAATCAAACACGAAAAATGTACATAGAAGATGCACCAAAAGAACAGAACTGAACAAAGTAAATAAAGTGGAATAACTTTTATCCAGATTAAAAAGATTTGGATCAAATGCAAGTCGGTTTAGCCCAACTGCGGTGAAGCATATTGTAGGTAACATTAACCTCAGCATAAAGCACTAATAATAATAATAATAACAGTAAAGGGTGATATCATCAGTAAAAATGGAATGCCGATATGTTGACGCGGCTGAAAGTGTGAAGCAAGGGGATACGATGATTAGGCCGGTGTACCGAGTACATGCATTACCGTCAGCGTGTTGAAACAGCCCTAGGATTACTCACCAGCTGATCTCTACTATGTGGCTTTGTTCGACAAAGCCAATTCAAATAGCGCAGCAATCGATGTAACGTGCGGCTGAACTGGAAGGTGTCGACAGTCGTGTGTTGATCCGATGCCACTTGGGAGACCAAAAGGTTCAGTTCACAGGACACTTCGTTAAACGCATCACTGAAAGCGCGATACTGTGGACAAAATGCAAGCGAAGAGGACAAATCTGTAAAAGATGCAACTCGCTAATGAGTAAATGTAGAGGTTACATTAAACTGTAACTATAACGAGCAGCTGCACACAAAAAGACAAAAGAATGGATCGAGAGTAATATAAAATGCTGTATGATTAACACGAATAGTTGCTGTTATGGATGGTCCTAAACCAGCACTGCACAATCGGTTTTTGCCCTCAGGTAGACGTGTAGGGAGCTGGGGGAGTAAGCCAGAACGTAGTGATTGTTGCCACACCCCTTCGTCAATGGATCACTGTGACTTGTCTCAAACGCCGGAAACAATGGTTAAAAAATCAGCGTTTCAGGTTCAGAGCATCCAGAATGTTTGGGTTGAGGTATAATCTCTCAAGCTGGACCGCGACATATTTTGCGGCCAATCTCATTTACGTCGACAGCTAGAATCGACGAGTACAAGACTGCTCCATAAGGTCCTGTGAAGTAGTATGGATTGAAGGTAAAACCACAGGTTGTGTTGTTAGAATAGCCTACTTAAAGTATAAACAGTAGCACAGTAAGAAGAGAAACAATAAAAAACCCACAAACGGCCGTTTGAGCGATTGCACTACAAAAGCATACAAGGGAAGAAAACTTGCCGTTCTTAGCCGACTCAAAAATCCTCTGGCCAGTGCCTGCAACTTGATTGCAGCGGTCTCTTTCCGCCGTGAAAGCTGCAACCGAGAGATTACCCAAACAAGTTAGTGACAAACATTAAATGCAGAGCTCAGATACAGGGATAAAATAATATTCGAAAAGGAATAGCGGACAGGTTCGTGTGAATTAGCAAAGATGGTTCTCCCAAACCGAAAGGTAGGACGTGTGACAAAGTTCCAACAGTTCCAGTGTTACTAAACACAAAAAGTAATATGAAAGTGAGCTAAAAAGAAAGCATTGGTCAAGTAAGTGGTTGTTCAACCATGACCGGGTGTGCCCCCAGGTTGCACACTGCATGATGTCTTCCTTGTGGAAGTAACTGCGAATAAATTTTGTATGATTCCCATTGAGATGAAGAAGCAGTCACGGACAATTTAGCGGCGGTACTGGATGGCGTGGTAGGTTTTCGAGTGGCAAGCGTTCTACCTATAAAAACACATAAGCCACAAGAAAGCAACTTGACGTGGTGGATGTGACTCATCACTAAATAAAGTAATTGCTAACGGCAGTGTTAGGACTATGGGATCGTTTTAACCACCCGAAAAAAACATGAAATGATTACTCTGTCACGGGCTCCCAACAGTTGCGAATACCTTATCTCGCTATGCTGCATTGTGGGCTAGGATTCGTGGCCAAAAGCTTGGAGTGACGGTGCCTTAAGATAACCGCCTACTTCGGCCTAGACAACCGGGTAGTATCTCGCCTGCAAACGAACCATGGAACCGAACCGAATTGCACGCTTTAGCTCTATTGACGACCTGCGCTCCTGCTACTACCGCGATTACTCTTCAAGCACACGCTACCTATTTAATTAACCTCCACCATATCATCCATCCCCGTTATTGTCTAACCATTCAACGTTGAACAGCATTGCTATCTCTGGTGAAATAGTCCGCTTGCTATTTTCTGACTTAATCACGTACAGTCCAACCGGAATCAGTCAGTCTCAAGCTCTCCCACCTCCGCTTCTGTGACCTAAAACAATGTTCAACTTGGCATCACGTTCAATGTGCGCAAACTAAAGCAGAGTAGACAACAAGCCTGGCTTACATGCATCCTAGAAGTTCTTGCAGTAGATGTCTGCGGCTTGTCCGAAGCCTGCTTTCAGGATCCCAGCTCAGTATAGCATCAATTCAACTGTTTTCATCTTCGGATTTCCGGAGATCCCGATACGAACGCAACCGTACTCAATGTGGTGTTGGAATCGCCCTTCGTGTCGGGACAGGTTGCCTTCTTGAATGGATTCCAATCAACAGTATCCTATGCGATATGAAGCTACACGGTTTGTGCAAGGTTAACAGGTCTCGAGGAGACTAATGTGCTTTTGCACACTCCGTCTATGCTCCACTGACACTAGCACGGATAGAGTCAAGGACAAATTCTATCAGTATCTTCATGGTTTACTACTACGGGCTCCCAAAACGGACATCATAACAATGGCGGGATATTCAAACTCACATGTTGGCCGTTTGCTGTTAAGCGAGCGCCGTTTCGGAGATCCGCAGATAAATGACTAAATCCGCTCGGATAATGGAGAAAGAATGTTCAGTTTGTGTGTCGACCATCAACCTTACCTAGCCTGCACGAATTTTCACTGCGCTAGGCGTCATTACGTTCCTTGGCGCGATAAATCATCCTCCCAGCGTTTGTCGTAGATCGAACACATCGTCATAAGTCATCGGTGGCGTGGCAGTATTCTGGGTTGCAGATTCTATTGGTTAACTTGCGTCGAACCTAATCTTGCGCTGGTATGTGTAACGGTCTGCATGCGTTTCGGCAACTCGTCTAAGCAAGATTAAGCAAACTTGAGGAAACAATCACAGGTACATTGGAAGACACCACCGTGTAGGTGGCGCATCAATAGCATTAGTTACGCTTGCAGCAGATTACGTTTCACGCGAGTTTATGCAGCTGCAGTCTTGTTAATCGCAAAGCTAATGGTTGGATCTCGGAACCGTTCGGCAGTCGAAAAACTCACCTGTCCTTGTGGAGTACGATGAACTCCGCTGAGCTGTCCACATCTGAAGGTGTCTTCGTCGGGACCGTAAATCCTGATGGGAAAAAGGTGCCCCGGAAATGAAGGTTGCTGCCTCTGCGGGGAGCAGCGGTCGATGGGCTAATCTTATCAAATCCACCAGGCCTAAATCACACACCTTTAGTATGACAGTCTGTGAACTAGACGGTACACAGATCACTAACCATGCAACCGTGTGGATCGATGAGCAGAGTATGCTGCTCATCAATTTCATTACCCAATCCAAGTCTCGGTGATGTCTAGTTTCATTATGAGGCTTGGCTTGTTTGCACAGATCCTCCTACTGAAGTGGGGATTCGGAGAGAAATCAACTCTGAAATGCCACAAATCTCCTAGTCCTGACAGTCTTCTTCCGGTCTCATGCTAAGATAAAGGAGCGTGGTCGCCAATAAAATCCCCACATTGTTCACGTTATGGACTGATGGGAGAATTCCAAACTCATGAAGCGAGTATGTCGTCTTACCAACTTACAACAAAGGCATTCGTAGTGAATGCATCAACCAAAGAGGAATCTCAATTATCTCTGTCAATTCCAAGGTTTTATGCCCATAATACTTCGTAGGGTTTCAGTTACGAGGTAAAATTTGTCTTGCGAGCAACGGGTTGGTTTTCGTGCGGGCTTAGGTTGCATCGACCAGATCTTATCGCTGCGTCAAACTCTCGAAAATCGTATTTTCAATTGTAAAGGAAACAAAAAGTAAAAACGGCGTGTGTGAAACACTAGAAAAGAACTGATCATCTTCTGGTACGGTCTACTTCTCTTTGTTGAACAAACATTTCCCCTTTCCATTACTGCTACGTTTCTGATAGCACAATTTTTCAAGATTGGTGAATATATTATGTGTAAATATAGGGTGCTCGTTGTGAAAATAATCGAAAGATCTCACAAATGAGCAACAAACAGGGTACAGTGTTGTCACTGCTTGAGTGAAGAACCAGCAAATTGTGGGATGGGACTTTAAACAATGACCAAAAAGACGAATGCCCTAATTTGACATGTGGAGGTAAGATGGATGACTGGGCTATGTGCTTGGGCATGTCTGCTACCCGGCTGCGTCCGAGTGGAGCCTTCGGATGGATAACACATGACATGACAAGAGGCCGGAAAAGTATCGTTCTCCTCGATAGGAGCCTCGGGATGGGCCGTCTAGTGGGTAGAGAACTTGTCCGATAACGTACAGCTGCAGAAAATGATGACATTGAAAAGGATCCATTACTGTGATATTGATTTTCTCACCCGACAATTATGCTGTTGATTCTTCCCACCATCCGATGAGTTCGCGTTCGCACAGTCTGTCCGCATTTCCCGTTATTTTTGTCCTCAGAAAAGTGGTGCCGCGAGTCATATCAAGTCGATATGCAGCAGCAGTCCGGCACAACAGTTATGGTCGAGCAATTAAATTGAACTGAACTAAGCTTCAGGTATTTGATACATCACAAAAAGAGAACACAGTGAGAGAATAAAGGAAGTGAGAGGAGAACAATAGGAGTTGCATCATGCTGAGACCACACTTGACATATGAAACCGAAGGTACTGCGAAACATTGCGCAGTTTATTGGAGACAACGATTAAGCAGTGCTGATGTCCGCCGGTTGAGCAATAACAATAAATCGCTCAGTGGCTTACTGACTGATCTGATGAGACTAAAACATCCAGGTTGAACAGGTTATACTCTTCGCATACCAACCATCAGAAAGTATATCAATTTCGAAGGCTAAGAGAAGCCACAGTCAGCGAAAAGGCGGGAAAAGTTATCGAAAGATGGTTGTATTGTTGACTCTCGGGTCCTCGCATGAAGACCAGTGGACTAATCATGCAAATATTGGTGACGCTCGTGCATTTGATCAAGTGTCTTGAGTTATACATTTGATAGCCCACCTGGTAACACTTCGACGATTCATTCCCCCTTTGAGTATTTAACTGGACGATACTACGCATGTTCGTCGTATTTTCATCGGTTGCTATCAATCTGCATCAGCACACCGATGCGGGTTATGACAATCGGAGCCAATAATGAACATAGGGTGAATCTTCTGAGTTGTTTGAAGTGTGGGGTGTACGGGGTGGCACCGATGGATGGAAGCTGCAGCAGCAGATCCGACATGCGATGGGGGCTGATTTCAATGGAGCACGCCAAATAAAAACATGACCTGAGTAAAGTAAACTGTTTCCAAGTGTGGCGCGGTGTCTCGATGTGAGGTCGAAGGGAACAGGGTTAAGAAAAAAATGAATAAAATTATTCAATATAAAATATTAACCAATACAGGCAGAAGTTGAATACAAAAGCACCTCAGGCTCTGTGACTGCGCCATATCATACAACAAAGGAAGAACGGGCAAACAGAAATAACCACAAAGCTCAACGACAGAATTGGAATGCAGCACCGGCAGCAACGAAGTAATTCTCATAGCCAAACTGGTGGAATGTAAATAATGAAATGAGAAAGTCAACCAAGTTTTCAATACAATCGCATGAAACTTACCTCGCGTTTCCTCCTCTCTTCCCTGGCTTTGTGAAGAATTGTATGAGCATTTGGCTACGAAAAAAACAGGCAATGTAAGATGATAAAGGTTCCTGTGCCATTGGGAAGTCACAATTCGTAAGCGAGAAAAAATAAAACAGCAAAACACGTGTGGACGTGAGACGAAATACATCAAAGAACTGGCATACGGCAACATGTAAGCACCTTGTGGACTAAAATAATGAATAAAGAATTGGAACAGATGATTGCGATTAAAAAAGGGATAACTGGAAGGCGCCTGAACGCGGTTACGCCTAGCCAACAGTTGTTTGCAGAACGAAGGATGCCGCCAGAAAGGCGATCTAAAAAGGGGGCATATACAAAGTTTGATGTATGTATATATATATATATATATATACATATATATATATGGTATTGGTGGCATCCGGTTTGGGATTCGCCTGTCACTGGGGCCAACCACAGGAAGCCTGCACCTACAGACGGACCATGGGTGGCTTGCGCTGCACCACCCACACACCCCATATCCAGTGTAAACCCGAAGGAATAAGACAGGGAGGTGTGCGGATAAAAAGTAATAATAAATCGTCAGTTGTACGCCGTAACGGCGCTTCGCTGCCACGTGACCACCACCAGTCGCGCGTGGGTTGTGTATACCGCGAGGACGCCCGCCGCTACGCAGATTCGAACCGGTGACCTAATGGTTGCAAACCAGACGCGCATACCACTCGGCAACCGGCCGACAGGCGTGTGGATGGAAGCCACGTTTCATTAACGTAGCCGGTCCACACTCCTTCACAGGCAAACACAAGCACACTGTATTTGGGAATCAATCGCACACAAGGCGGTGGCTGGACCGTAGACCGCTCTACACTGACTGCATTGAACCACTCTTTGATCCTAACGCGGCCACAAGGACCGGGCACCCTGTCCCCTCCAGCAATGACCAACTGTCTCCTGGAGCCAGTATGGACGAGGTAGGCACCTTTTCAACATGCACATCAAGCGCAGTCACACCGGAGATATCAAGTAACAGCTAACTAAGTGAAACGACGATAGCAAATAAAATAAATCGATAATACATACAGATACGGTGATATAACTCTGTAATAAATAAGCATATGAAATAAATTGGTTACAAACAAATTCGCGATAAGTTCAAGACGTCAGAAAATATATTTCAAGAAAATGCCACAAACGCAAAAATGTTATCTGTTAACTAAATCAGTTTAAGGGACTGCAAATTTATAGAAGATAGTACAGGTAGAAATTAATATGAGATAAAAAAGCATTAGAACAATATAGCAAACCCACCAACTGAAATAAAGTGACTAAACATGCAAGCACGCGGTTAGTACGTCGAATGCAGTGTACCTAAAAACACTGCGCCGGTTCTGCCTACCCCCACAGCAGGAGTCGTCGTCGTTTCGCAGTTGACCCCGAGCGGCCTCGCTCATGGCTCACTAGACCTGTCTGACTCGCACTCGCGACCGCATGTGTTACAGCAACATGCGCTCAATGTCGATGGAGTACAACCCATCGGCGCCTGTAGCTTCCGCACTTGCCACTTCTTCTCTGCATGCATGAAGGATTTCTCTTGCATCATGGCAACGGCCCTTGTGATCAGATCGTGCCATGCACGCTGAACAACCGCGTTCAATTCCCATAACCTGCAAGCAAGAGCAGAACGTGAGAAGCTCACTCTGATCATCTGCTTGTAACGAAGCTTCGGTTTTCACACAAGCCGCTCCCCCAAACTCAGCTGATCACAGCTGCTTTGGTATCCGCGTCGAATCCATACGCCACACATGACCGAGCCGCCTAAGGTGTCACAGCAAAAGTATGCAGTCCAGTGCATACATTTCTGTTCGGCGCAACACTTCCGGGTCCGCAACTTTGTTGCACCAAACAATGCGCAGAATCCGTATAAGACACCGTTGATGGGACCGCTCGAGATATCGCATATCCAGTCGGTGCATCTTCCACATTTCGTTACCGTGCAGAAGAACGGACGGCACTATGGATGTGAACACCATCAGCTTCGTGCCGACAGTAAGCTGATGGTTATTCCACCCTCGGCACTCTACCTTCCCGAATGTCGGAGCTATCTTCGAGACGCGGATACGTAGCTCATTGTGTAGCTGCTGATCAGTCGACACCACACTCCCAAGGTAGCAGAAGCGGGAGGTGATTTCCAATACGTCATCACTATTGTAGATTACACCGATGGTGAAGGATGAAAAATGCAGAAAATTTTGCTCGAGTTGACGGTGGCCCGAATTTGACCGCTGTCGAAGCCACAGCAAAGTCATGTGCTGCAACTCATTCGCGCTGTGTACAACCAACGCATAACCGCCCGCGAATAGCAGCATGCGGTTAGTTGTCACACAGACTAGAGTTCTCGCACGGAAGCGACGGATGCACAGCGACCCACCATCAATACGGTGCACCACATGAACACAGCAAGCACAAATAGCATCAAACACACACCACATGGCATGAAGAGAAATATTAAACAGGACAGGAGCTAAGACAGCCTTGCATCACAATAGTGATAACTGCAAAGTCACCCGACGCCTGTCCACTCAGCCGCACGCTCAACTATTTACCAATCTGCAGACATCATCATCATCAACAGCAGTACATCAGCCATTTGAACTGATGCTTCGCTGCCATCCAACCATAACGACCTATAAAATAAAGAATAATAAGAGGGAGAGAAGGGGGACTTACCTGAAAATCTTAATGCACAAGCAAACATTCTGGGTCAAGGCGCCTACACCCTGTGTAGACAACATACCGTCACAAACAGCTGGCTATCGTGCAAAGATAAGGCGGCATCGGCGAGACAGTTTCCTCGCGGCTTTCACTGCCACACGTCATAATCAGCCATTAATCCGCAGATAACTCAGCAAGTAACACACTTGAAACAGGCAATCCAATTAGGAGACGGCAACAGACGCGCCACTGGTGTCTACTGCGAGCCATGTCCTGTAAAGTCTCGAGCCAAGCACAAGGTGAGTCACGTGGACTCCAGCCCGGAAGGCGAGACGGACCAACGGCACCCAGTTTGGTTGTCAGTGACTTCATTTGCCGTTGCCAAGTCAACTTCTCTCCATCTCGAGCCTTGCGCCACCCTACACCTGGCAGACTAAACAAGGCCCTCCTAGGTAAGCGGTGACCAGGCATACGTAGCACGTGCCCGAGCCAACGCAACTTATTCAGTGCTATCTGTTGTTCTAGGGAGCTAGCATGATTATCATTATCCAGTACTCGCCTACGCACATCATCGTTGCGGACACGCTGGTGCCATCCGACACCAGCAATGCTTCGCAGACAACGATGATCAAAGACTTTAAGGCGCCTCAGATCTTCAGACCGAAGGGGCCAAGTCTCACTACCATAGAGCAGAACGGCCCTCACTGTGGCCTTGTATACACGGCCTTTCAGACGAAGGGAAACTCCCTTCCGTCGCCAAAGATGACGCAGGTTCAAGAAGGCAGCTCTGGCTTTTGCAATGCGTGAACTCACGTCAGTTTCTATGCGCCCATCATTGCTGATGCAGCTGCCAAGATAAGTGAAATGATCAACCATCTCGAGTTCCTCGTTAGCAAGCGTCAAGGGGTCATCAAGTGGCTGGTGGTCCTGCAGCAACACTTTGCACTTTGAAGGTGCAAAGTGCATACCAAATAATGGGACCACTCTGGACAGGCTATTCAGGGTTGATTGTGACGCTCCAACATCGTCGGAAAGCAAGACCATATCGTCCGCATAATCTAGATCAACTAACCTTTCACCAAACAACACTTAAACGCCTACATCGTGAGATTCCGCAAGGGAACACTCCATGATAGAATCCACGACGAAATTGAACAAAAATGGGGAAATCGGACAACCCTGACGAACGCCACTTGTGGTCGGAAAGCTATCCGATAAGACACCGTAAACCCTGACACGGCCTGTAGTGTAGAGCACGAAGGATGTTCACCTATTTCATGGGAACACCTTTCCGCGCAAGTATTGCGAACAGAATCGATCGATCGACTGAATCGAAAGCACTCTTGAAATCAAGGAACACAGCTATTGTCGGTCTGCGGTATGCGACGCGCTGCTCTAGCACCTGTCGCAAAGTGAATATATGGTCTATACAGCCACGTCCTGGGCGGAAACCGGTCTGCTCCTCCCTAATCCGAGATGCCCGTTCCGCAGTGACGCGACGAACGAGAATCGAGGCCAGTAATTTTGTCACAACTGGCGTTAGGCTAATATCCCTGTGGTTAGCACAGTCTGTGCGACTGCCCTTCTTGTATATTGCCACTACAATCTATTCACACTAGTTAGCCGGGACATCTTCCAGATAGATTCGAATAAGGTCAGTGCTTTGCAGAGGACCTCACCTCCATCCTTAAATAGTGCAGGTGGGAGAGAATCCGGGCCAGCGTCACGAGAACGAGTAAGGGCTGTAATCGCGTTTCGGACCTCGGCATCCGACGGAGGCTCTAAACTAACCGTCCATGACCTGTCCTGCATCACCTGAGTAGAAAAAGGTCCGGGAACAGGGGGCTAGCTGTACTGACCATGAAGGTATTCCGCCCAACGAGCCGCGCTCCTTATTGTGTATCAGCGCACCCGCGCTGTCTCTGATTGTCTCACTGACGCCTGGTTTCCTGGGACCAGTGGTGCGGAGTAGCTGGAAGAGCTTGCGATAATTGCCTACTGCTCCTGCCTCCTCCATTTTTTGAGCCCTACTGGTCCACCATGCTTCTGTTTCAGCATGTAGGCTCCGCTTTACTTCGCGCTTAATAGCCCATCTGGTCACACTGTGTTCAGAGCCAGCCGGGAGGTGTCTTCTAGATTCCAACAGGTTCACCGACCTCTCGGATATCCAGTGACTAGCGCGGTGACGATGGATAGTGCCACAAACAGATGCTCCTACGTCGTGCGTGGCGGCCGAGATCCTATTCCACTGAAGCTCAGTGTCATTAGGACAAGACAGCGAAACTTCGGTACGCAGTGCGCCTTGATATACTTGCCTGACCGAAGGCTGAGACAATTTC